AACCGAGGGTCCTGTTCCATCATTCCATGCACGACCATTCGGCTGTAGCAAGACCAGCCTGCTCTGAGCACTTCTAATTTTGTTCAAAGTAAACGTGCCGCCACAGGGGCTCCAACCACGGTTTAAGGGCATAAAAAAAACCCCGTGCGCGCCGGCGGGGAACACAGCTCGGACCGGCAGTAGCCAGCACGCTAATGCGGACCTCCGTCCGGAGCAGAAGTCAAACTACGAGCGTATTCAAAACCATCAAATCACCGCAACAACTTTAATATACGCTAGTGGGCTGGAATTACCGCGGCGGCTGGCACCAGACTTTCCCTCCACCTCGATCCGTCGACAAGGATTTAAAGTGTACTCATTCCAATTGTCGAGGGCCCCGTTCTGGGGCTCGCAACATTATTTTTTTCGTCACTACCAATTCCCCGTGCCGGGCGTGGGTAATTTGCGTGCCTGCTGCCTTCCTTATATGTGGTAGCCGTTTGTCGGGGTTTCAGGCTCCTCTCCGGCGATCGAACGACCTGATGGTCCCCGTTACCCGTGATATCCATTGTAGGCGTTTTACAAACAAAAACCTACAATGAGAGCTGATCAGGCAGACTCCTGCAGTACTCGGGCGGCGGGAGCCGCCCAACCCCGGGTTACGGGAGGGGTCCGTGCGCTCGGGCGTCCTCCTCGACCCGCCAACGCCCTTTCCGATTCCGTGGTCCCCGCCGCCCCTCACACCCAGCACACCACACCCGGCCCCCCTCCGGGGGCCGCCAGCCACCACAAATCTCCCCGGACGCAGCCTTGGCCGGGGACGGGGATGGAGCCGGCACCAGCGGCAGCGGGGCCGCCCGACAGACCCGGGGCTCCGGGGACGCCCGTGCGACATCGCCGCTCCTTCAGTCTCCCGCCACCGGCCACGAGCCACTTGCCACGGCCCAAGGACCCAGGCCTTGCCCGCGCTCCGCGTCGCCCGGGAGGGCCCGTGAGCGCGCAGACCCGTCTGCGGCCCCGCACCACAGCAGGAGCGAAGCTGCTGCGGAAAGGCAGGGAACGGTTGCTGACACGGCCGGGAAAAGGCCAAGAGGCGGGGCGCGTGGCCGGGGGTGGTCGAAAAAAGGGTGCCTTGCCCTCTCGCAAGGCCAACGGCAAGGCGGCCAAGCCGCCCGTCCGCACACGGCGCGCCGCCGGTGCCGTCCGGGGGTCGTCTCCGTACAGTCCCTCTCTGCCGCCGATGGGACGCATCATCGGCAAACCACGGACGGCCTGTCCTGCCGGCCTGTTTGCCTGCCTCCTCACACAAAAGCTGCGCACAGCCAGCTCGCCGCCCATTACCGCTAACGGCCACCAGCCACGGGAGCCCCGGGGAAGGCGGCGGCGGCGGTGCCCTGCCTGCCTCCACAGACCACCTGCGGCCACAGCCAGCTCGATCCCTATGCCGCCAACCCACCCCCACGCCGGGGAAGGCGGTGGCGCGGCGGTGCCCTGCCTTCTCCACAGACCCAAACTGGGACGGGCTCCACAGCCATTCGATCCCCTGCCGCCAACCCCCCCCCGCCACGCCCTGGGAAGGCGGCTGCTGCGACCCTGTCTGCTTCCGCAGACAAATTTCGGTCCACAGCCAGCTCGCCCCACAAATTCCCGCAACCCACCGCGCACGCGAAAACAGACAAAACTGCGGCCACAGCCAGCTTGACGCCCCTGCACGCCAACCGACCGACACGGCCGGTGGGAAAGGCGGCTGCGACGCCCTGCCTGCTTCCGCAGACAAACTGCGGCCACAGCCAGCTCGCCCCCTTCCGCCAACCCACCGCTACGCCCGGGGAAGGCGGCTTCGGCGCTCTGCCTGCTTCCGCAGACAAATTGCGGCCATAGCCAGCTCGCCCCCTATCGCCAACCCACCGCCACGCCTGGGGAAGGCGGCTGCGACGCCCTGCCTGCTTCCGCAGACAAATTGCGGCCACAGCCAGCTCGCCCCCTGCCGCCAACCCCCCGCCAAGCCCGGGGAAGGCGGCTGCGGCGTCCTGCCTGCTTCGCAGACCAACTGCGGCCACAGCCAGCTCGATCCCTGCCGCCAACCCACCGCCACGCCCGGGAAGGCGGCGGGGCCGCCATGCCTGCCTCCGCAGACAAACTGCGGCCACAGCCAGCTCGTCCCCTGCCGCCAACCCACTTCCACGCCCGGGGAAGGCGGCGGCGGCGACCTGTCTGCCTCCGCAGACCAAATGCGGCCACAGCCAGCTCGCCCCCTTGCCGCCAACCTACCGCAACGGCCGGGGAAGGAGGCGGAGCCTGGGGGCGCCCAGGCCGCCCGACCGTGACCGCCATGGGGCCGCCGCCTCGCCCCGCGCGTCTCGCTCTCAGCCGCTGGCCCGGACCAGCCTTGCCCCCGCAGGGTTAGCGGCTCGGCCTTTCACACACCACCACCGGAAACAGGTCCTCCTGCTGCTCATGTCCCACCGAGCGGAGGGCTCTGAGGAACAGGCAGAGGAAGAATGGGGGGGACCCCACACCCCCTAACCCCATCCCCCTGTAGTAGCAAGGCTTCAGTGGAGAGATCTAAGTTTTTAAAACTTTTAGCCTTTACCTCTAAGCTTATTGCTTCTAGAACTTTCTTATTTGACAAGAACTTGTGCAATTTGAAGCCACCCTCCGAGCATAATGCTTTACTCTTCCTGATTAAAGCTATGGCTTTTGCAATTGTAGGTAAAGATGTTAACCCATCATCTACATAAAATTCATTTTTAACAGCTTCTTAGGCAGCTTCTTTTCCACATTGTCATGCATAATCATCAGCAGTAGCTTTCAGTGCAAAACTTGATACACTTGGGGGTGTAGCCCCAAATAAATGCAGTGCCATTCTATATTCTTTGATAGTTGAATCAGGATTTCCATTTTCCCACCAAAGAAAGCGTAGTAGGTCTCTGTAATCAGGCTCTACCTTTACTTGGTGGAACATTGCTTCTATATCACATGCAATTGCTACACTTTCCTTTCCTAGTCTGAACAATACGCCAATCAAGTTATTTGTCAGATCTGGACCTTGAAGAGATTCTTATTAAGTGATTGATTCTTATACACAGCACTCTAATAAAAAACTAACCTAATTTTGTCAGGTTTCTTTGGATGATACACACCATGATGTGGTATATACCATATTCTTCCATCATTGAAATTTGGACCCTTCTGCATAGCCTTTGTCTATGAGATCTTTTATAAAGGCAACATAGTCTTGTAGAAAACCATTCTTTTGCTCACCCTACACATTGCTAATTCTTTACTATTTAGAAACTTGACCTTATCATCTTTAAGAAGAAGTGGCAATTCATAATGCCCATCTTTTAGTTGATGAATTCCATCTTTCATTTTCCTTAAGAAGATCTTGTCTTGATACGAAAAAGGAACATTCCCTGTCTCCTTTTCACTTCACAGCTCAAATAATTTTCGAACTTGTGCAAAATCAATTATTTTTTTTTACTTTAGTTGGTGAGGAAAGAAAGCTACATTTTGTGTCATAAATAACATTATTGACTATTGCTTTGCTGGTTAGAACTGAATCTGAGTCACTTGTGTCTTGACAATCACCATTGATTCTCGCTATTGTACTCCAACCAAGCAAAGTTTTTCTTGCATAAGGCTCGTCATCTTTCCCAGGAATTAACTCTATCGGTTTGATGGCACGGATACAATTTAAGCCAATCAGGAGCCCAACTTCACCACTTCTATCGTATGGCATTAATTCGTTTGATATTCTCTGTAAATGAGGCCACCCTTCTACACTTTCTGGTCTTGGAATTTGACCATGTCTGGCTGGTATATCCGACCTTGAATAAGTGACTGGAAGTGCAATCTTTATCTTTTCATTTTTACCACCTACTATTATTCCTCTTGTCTTTGTACTTTCAATTGTTCTTTCACCTGTCACTGTTGTTAACTTTAGGTGTAGCTTGGAGCCTAGAATGTTTAGCTCATTCATGGTGGATTCTTTAATAAAACATGCATGTGATTGTTTAACCAATAATGCATAAACCAATACTTTTTTACGTATGTTACTTTCATGATGTATCCATATTGGTACTATCATGGAATGCATCATATCCTCTGACTTTCTCAATATCTTTATTTTATTGGAAACTGCACTATCTTTAAGTTCCTCATTAACTTTGCTCGAGTTTACCTTGTCTTCATTTATATTAGTTTCATTTGACAATGTTACTGTTTTTTTCCAGCTTCTTGTTCCTTATACATTTTGAGTAAGGCTTCCCTTTCTTTGATTCTTTCAAGTATAGCCTCATGAGGAGGTGTTGGATAACATTTCTTACATACTGTGCATATATTCTTTCTTTTGTTTAATTCTGGTTTACCCTTCATACTACTTATTGAAAAATTGACTATGAATCTGATTCATTGTCATTACTGCACTATGTGATGAAATTCACAAACCTAGATAGAAAAGTTTCTCTGCAGGTTCTGTAACTCTTGACTCTATAAAAATCTCAAAGGTATGAAGCCAGGTTGGAAACTCCAATAAAGCTCCACTGGAAATTTCTGGTTCTAGTTTAGGGAATTCACTTTTACTTTTAGATGATAAAATATTCACCACATCTTTAAAGAGTAACCACTATGTAAATTAAGTGTATGATATTAATCTCAGAATTTGCTCTTGTACCTCCAAATATGCATAAGATTTTTTTTTTAATAATAATAAAAAATAACGCGTTTTATATTTATAGCCTTTTGAATGGACAAATTCTTGTTGACAAATTCTTGAGTTAGCGCTGTAGCAGACGACGCGTATTTCGGTAAAAAAAATGCTTCAAAACTATATTTTTAGACAGAATTTTTTTTTTTTGCAACAAGTTGCTTTTGAAAAAGTAGTATCTCAGCAATGAAAAAATGCAAAGTTGTGCACAAACTTCGTGGTTACCCTTTAAGTACATTAATGTCTATAGCTTGACTTGATCTACCTTGCCCAAATGATGCATTCAAATCTTTTAACTTGTAGCTTAAGTTCTGGGCTTGCTTTTAAGAAAGTATTCTCTAATTTAGACACCTCTATCTCTAAATCACCCATACCTGATACATCATTAGAAGCCATTTCTTGTTTTGGTAAATTAGGATTTACTTTCTCAATCTCTGTAAATTTATCAATAGATTCTAAATATTTGTGAAGATGAAGTTCTTTACTATCATCTAGATCTTTACTTTGAGACAATTCTAGCTGATTTTCTTCTAGACTGGCTTTCTCTACTTCTAGTTGAGATGCAAACCTATTTCTCATAGCAAGAAATCTTTTGTACTCATATTCCTTTTCTTTCATGATGCTCTGTTGATTTATCATGAACATCTGATACTTTGTTTCCTCTTTATGAAGCTGAAGCTCAATTTGTAGTTTAGCTAATTCTGCTTGTAGTGGTTTGTGGACAGCTACTCTGCCACTCACCCTGGCTACAGGAGCTGACGAATATTCCTCGGGACGTGAATTATAGGGCATGAACATGGGCACAGTTCTGCAAGATTAAACACACACCAGTCTCCGTCTTTGGCTGCTTTATTTCCTGCTGTACAGGGTACAAAAATCACTGGCGTGTTCGACATAAATGCAGGGCATGGTATACAGCACAGATATTATCAAATAGTACCAATAATCACTAAACACGACCGAGGTTACCCGCCAACTGCCTGCCGGTGGCGACTTCACCGCGCACTCGGCGAAGTGGTTGCCACCTATCTCGGTTGTGAAAGGGGTTGGGTGTGGACCGCGAGCTCTCTCCGACCTAATACTCATGACAAGTTCTCTTGGAGGTGGGGCGTTTAATAAAAAGACGCAAGGGCGTACTGCTGGGTATTAGTAAGCGCATCCATGAAAGAAAAGACCACCAAGTGGCAACATGGCCATTCCCCGTTCGCATACATGAATCCGGATGCGTTCTTGTACTGAAATACGTCACACTACATGCTTGTATTCTTTCATTCTGTGTAACATTATGCATAGATCTCTTTGTAGAATGGGAGTGCTTTTTTGTGAATTTACTCATTTTGTTTTTTGTTTTAACTCATTTTACTCTCAATTTTTTGCATACAATTATTGTGCTCCTCAGTCTCAAATTTTAACTCCTGTAACAATTCATCATCAGAACTTAGATCTAGTTAAAGGCATTTACAACTTCTTTAAACTGTGACTCTTCTGCCTTTCTATGATCATTAAGTTGATCCAAGCATACTACACTATCAAGTCTTGGTAATATCTCTGATAATACCTTTTTCCATGCTAGCCTAGCAGATGATAACCTCTTTATATACTGTGTTATTTGATACTCACGTCCTTTTTCTGTTAAAACTTTTTTTCCTAGCACCTTTCATTACCTCATTGACACCAGTTCCCTGAGGTTGGTCACCTACAGCCTCTTCAGTAGCACTCATTATTAAAACTATTATCTGTCTACTGACCTATATGGAACTTAACCCATTCACGCCGGGTGTCACGTATATGTGACGGGCCCACTGTGAGTTTACTTGTTTAATTGTTTTTACACATAGATGGCTGCACTTGTACTTGTACTGCTTGTCTCGCCTGTTTACCCTTTTCTTTAATTTACGAAAATATTATACGTTATCTTATTTTGCTGTTACTAATGTTCATAACATTATAGTAATTATAATGTTTATAATAAGAATAACCATCGATACTCATAGTACTAGTAAAAAATACATTTTCCCGCCAAATGAAATCAGGTAAGGCAGAGCCATCTAGTGTCGAGAAATTTCACAAAAAGTATAAAAAATGAGCATAGCATTTTCCCCCATTTTTTGTTAATTTTCACCCGGCGCGAATGGTTTAAAACACACAATTTGTACCTATTAGTTAAAAGTTCACTAGCCTCTGTGACCTGTAGAGATGAAAAGTTTCTTTAAAGAGCAGAGATCTTCCCTTAATTTATTAGTTATCCTCTTGCCTTTGGATTCTCACAAACATTCACACCGTTCTTCTATCCTTCTTGACCTTGAATTATCTTGTCTTGGATCTAGCAGATGCAGAAATCTTGAGACTGTTATTCTGCATGCAGATCTTGACAGATTTTTAACTGCTGTGCTGAGGAGGGTCTGAATTTAACTCATATGCTGAGTTTTTAACTGAACTCAGGAGTTTAACTGATGCGCTGAGTTTAACTGTTGCTCTGGGCTGATTTTAACTTTTGCATGATTAACTGCATGCAGAAGGTCTTGAGTTTAACTGAACTCGGTATATCCAACTGTTGTGAGCTGAGTTTAACTGAACTCAGTAAATCTAACTCTTTTCAACTGTATACAGGTGTATGAGTTTAACTGTTGCAGAGAGCCAAGAACCGGTGGGTTTCACTGGAAACGCTTGAGACTTTTTGTGGTACTTTATTGCATCTTGGATACATCTCGATTTCTTCTCATTAAATGCAATTCATTACCATCCATTTCTATTCCAATTATTTTCCAATTGTTTCCTGTTAAAATGAAATTAACAAATCTTTAACTAATACATAATA